TTAGCATTATTTTTCCGATGTCTGATTTCTTTTTAATTATAGGAAATGCGTTTTTCTAAGGTACATAAACTTTTGAAATTGACTGTATAGCCAGTACATCCTTAATGATTGTTGCAGCAATTTAGTCGATAAGAATAAGAAATTACGATTTTTCGGAATCATACGAGATATTGAACGATTTATTGGTTTAATGGAAACTCTTCATAGATTTATTATAAGACAGTTCTAATTGATTTTCTAAGACATCTTCATGTTCTTTTACTCTCTATAATCGTGTGTATGTCGATTGATTTTTTGTGACTCACTTTCGAGTTCCTCGATGCGTTCCCTCTTGGTCGCGGCCTCCTCGGCCAGCCTGGCCGAGGTCTTCACGCCCTCGCCGCTCTTGTGCGTCTTTTCCATTATGGAACACGCGCGCAGGACAAAAGCGGGCACCGTCTCCTGCTTCTCCTGCTTCGGGATGTCCACGAGCGTCCAATACTGAGTCTCCAATTTGATCACCTCCTGAAAATGTCAAATAACGGGCGTACTGCTGTCCTCAAAAAATGCTTCGAGCGCGACTCGCAGATAAATGAAAGACAGGGTTGATCATAAAGATTTTCATAACGTCGAGTCTTTATGAAATTTCTCGGAGGAATTTTTCTGACGTAATAGCGAAGTTTTCTTTTTTATTCTGAAAAGAGTCTTTATATCCCGTCTGTGTATTCCAAAAATACTTGTCGACGAATTATGTAACAGCGGTCGAAGATCGTAATCGATTTTACGTAGAATTAATAGGATTATTGTTGCTGCTTTAATACTTTAAGCAGATAATATCCTTGAATTGTTCGAACGTGATTACAAACTTCTAATTACCTTGATCATCATTTTTAAGAGGTGGTAACGCTGGAACACGTTGCGGACCTGCTTGCTGTTAGTATACTTGGTCATAAGCTCTACGAGGGCACGTTTCGCGATCTCGTAACTTCCGTCCAACCGTATCCTTACCACTCTCAGCCTCTCATTCGTCTCGATCACCTCCTCCTTCGTTTGTCCGCCTGAAATTTTCCAAATCGTCCACGTTCCAGTTCAAACTGAATAATATTCATATTTAGTCATCTTTTTAGAGTTCGAATAATCACAGAGAAGATGATAGCAATCGAGATCGAGGTTTCACAAAAAGTCTCTCAAATATCAATTTGAAGACTGCCTGACGTGCGATTAATTAATCATGTCTCGGATATACGTAATCGGTTGATGGGATTAGATTTTAATTAAAGAGCAGCTGATCTCGATAATCGAATAGTTTTAGTCAATCGGTTGATAGCAGTAGATTAATTAACGCGATCGATTGAAGGGCCACGCTGCTATCATGTCAGGCGCGCGTTGTCATTATTTCCGGTGGCCCTTTGGCGAGCCTCGGACTTTAATAACCAGCCGCACGACGCGAGCCAATCTGAACGTGGTGCACGCGCGTGCAAACACGCGCGTCGTCCATTCACCGGCAGCTGGCTTAACAACATTATTACTTTCAGCCGTGTCGTGTACGCCTAACGAGGAAATTGATGTTGCCGCCCGGTTACTGGGAATTCATTTAGGTTTTAATTGAACCTCGCCTTTATCGCCGCTCAAGCGCACTTCGTTGATTAATTGACGCGGAAACGTAACTAGCGGTACGTATATGCGATTCGCAAGATCCCATTTTGCCAAAGGACGCGATGATACTTCTAACAGAATTAATTATTAATTTCGTATAACATTTCCGTCCTCTGTGCGCGTTTGCCAACTCGCCGTTGTTTTCCATCGTCACTTTTATAATAATCTAATTACTGGGTTCCACGGTAGAAAAATGATGCAGGAGTCGTTGATCCGGGTTTAATCGAATTATCCCGCAGGAAACTCGCGTCTGTTTGAAGTGCAAATAGTGGCAGCGCCGTTATGCCAACTGACCGGGTGTAAAAGCTTCGGCTTCAATTTCATTCATGAGCTAACAGCCGGCCACCCTGGCTCCGGGCCAATACCTTATTTCTAACAGTTGGTTCGAACATCCTCGTGCCGATTCCACAGGCATTACGTGCTCTGCGGAATCGACAGGATCAGCTGCTGATTCTTCTTCAAAGATTTTCCTTGTTCCAAGATGGAACGTTATAATCTCCGGGGAATGTAATTAATAGACCACGGATTTCTATGCATAATGAAATCTAGGTAGGAGTTTAAAAGTAATGACGTTCAACTTTACGCTTCGATTTTTGTTGCATTTTCGTTTGTTTTCTACCGACACAATTTTTCTGTAGATGCTTTTACTTCGCAGTCTAGTAATTAAACTAAATTATCTCGTAATCGGGAAGGAAGTACTGTCTGTTTAAGGTACGGAAGTGAACGAGGAATGTTTTAATTAAAGAGCAAATTATTTTAAGAACATCTTAAAAAAAAATGTGCTAGGAAAACTCACTGGAAGTTCCTTCGTCTTTTACATCCTGGACGATCCTCCGGACGCTTTGCGTGAATTTGCCCATGAGATTCGTGCCCGCTGAAAAGTATAAAAAAATGTATTAGCTTTTCAAGGAAATTTAATGAACGAAAGGGAAACGTGTCTCGTATTTATATTTGTATAAGAATCCGCGATTCAATGACAGGCTATTACGAATTTGATTTTTCCCAAAGTCAGTTTTCTGGCAGTAAAGCAAAGAAATAAAATGCGGGATCCGGCACATATTTCCAAGAGAGTAAACGCTTCCGTCGAAGAAAGCGGAAATGTGTGCCAGGTACATGTCCTCCGCGCTGGTTGACATAAAACACGATAAGGCGGAAGGGTGAATAAAGCTTCTTAGTCGTAAAACATAGAACTGTCCTTAGGACCGCCGAAGTACACTTTTAAAAGCTCGGATAACCCATTGTCGCGTAACACTCGCAGTACCTGGTTACATATGTATCGTTACAACTTTTACTTCTGTCATATGTGAATCATTGCATTTGATTTTATCAAACAGACTCATATCTTTTAGTACGTATCAATTAATATATGAAAACTATTTGAAATTATTTATTGATTTTATTATAGAGGTTTAGAAAATGAATTTTGGTCATGATAAATGCAATAGAACTTTTATCAAATCAATAGCTGGTCACTTCAAATGTTTCAAATCGGCTCACCGTCTAGAAACCCGATAAGATGACGATTATCTTGTAAAATAGAAAAATGTAACCGGTTGTACGAGATTTCTCGTTGCGCATGTTACAATTGCGGGAAACGAAAAGTCGATACTGTCGGAACGGAAACGTTTCATCCGTGGAACGTATTGGTCGGTGTGGCGCGTCAAGAATATTATAGAAACGGGAAAAGATGTCAACCTAAAAAGGAGCCGGGTACTTTGGCAATCTGAACAAAACTACTTCGCGACTCGATACACAGAGCTTTCCGAACCGTAAGCCTCTGTAAGCACAGGAAGAGTGGAAAGCGAAATCTTCTCTTTGTGCTTTGAAAATGTACATAACGGAAGTCAGATAATAACTTTACGTCGTTTTCCTAACGCAAGCGCGCATCCTCGTGCAGTTAAAAATTGATCATCTAATTTTACGAACACTTTCAAGTTTTCACATAAACACATCGACACGTGGAAGCTGATTTTAATACGCAGCGCTTGATCCAGTAGTTTAATATCGTGTATGGTCAGACACGAACAGATTGACTTTCAAATTCTGGTATAAATCCGTCTAGACGCATAATCGTGATTTTAATACGGTACGTAGAATTTGATTAAAGTGTCCAAGTAGCATATGTAATCCGGAAAAATGTATCATACTTTAATCTGAGATTTAACGCACGGATTCGCGCGAAGTCAATTTCGAGAGACAGAAATATTTTAGTCCGTAAGAGGAAGATTTCCGTTGAAGAGGGTATCTCATCTTCGGATGCAATATTACACAGTGACGTTATCAGAAAAAAGAGAAGAATACGTATTGTAGAATGCGCGTCGTCTACGTATGCTTAGCAAGCATTTACGTGCTGTTAAAATTGCACAAGGGGATTCAAGTTTCAGAGGCTTTTAAGAAAACTTTCTCAGATACAACTGTAACACATTGGAAATTTTATACTCGAAAACTTTCATCTTTCCTTCCCCCTCTCGTTCTTGTTTTACATAAAGATTTGAATTTTAAAACTTCCCAAGAGATTCTTTTGCAATCTCATTCTTTTAAACATTTTTTCTAATATTTCGTTCCTCCGTTCTCTGGTTGAGTCTATATTTGGACTGAAAGGGAATCGTTACGAGGTTTTACGTTTCGATTTTGACAAGTTCTTCATCCGAGGCTATTTAGATTTTCCCGAAATACGCGAACGGGGCTAGACAGTTTGAGGTAAGAACGTGGCATCGGCAGATTGGCGTTATGCCGTCCCGTCATGGCAGCTACGTCATTCAGAATTTGTCTCCCGTCGGGTCTGCCAGAGTTCGGACGTATTGAAATTCACCACGGTGACTTATACGTGATGTTTCTGTCCAACTTCTCTTCACCCTTAATGTACAAGCTCGAGAAATAATCATCTAAGAGAAAGCTAGAGTTTCAGAATTCGCGAAATCCACAGGCAGTCAAAATGATCTGGACGTAGACTCATTGGTTCAAGTATTCTGATTGCTAAAATTATAGAGAGGCATACAATCTTTTTAAATTTTTCTGTGGGACGCTTGTATCATGATTCAGGGACTAGAGAAACGTCTACAGAGAAAGTAAGTGGCTCGATTCGAGCTCGGGCACTTTCGTTTGTTTCGTTGGGCAAGATGCCAAAACGCAACAAGCGCATTTGCTGTTCATTTCATGGATTGCTAAGAAAACACGTTTACGTTGATTATTCTCAGGAAATTTGCTTCTAGAATCCTTGATGAAATTTTATCAAATTGGAGCCGGCTCTATCATTTTTATTCAATTACCATATCCATTTAGTTTTTATTAAAGAAATGTCTTTGCATTAAAGAGAATACACAGTGAGTTGATAAAAATTGTCATCCAGAGTATTAGAATATATGAAATGTAATTTGGTTACGTTTAATCAATAAGCTCTGCCAGATGCAAAATGCATATAAAGTATCTTTTAACGAAACGGGAGAATTAGCGTTTGGCCATATAATTATTCTTACTGATTCTTCTTGTAATTTGTTCCTAGCAAGGTTTCGTAAAAAGGTAAAGGTCTCGCAATTACCGCGACTTTTCGTCCCTTCCTATAATCATCGTTCATCTAAAATGCTACACCATCCACACGCCCTACTTCCCGCTTTTACTCCGTTTTGTTCTTGATTGTGTCGTGCAATAAAATTCTATTATTATTGTTACTGTTATCGCCTCGCCCTTAGCGAGAATTTTTTTGCGGATGTAATCGTACCAGAATCCTCTGAGATGGGACACTGGTTTCGTTTCAGATAAAAATTAACCGAAGAGTAGTTGATACGTTCATGAAATATGTGCAAATTTATTTATTTGTGTAAAACAAATGATAAGTTATTGATTTATTATGTTAAAAATATGTTGTATGTCGAAAATCGTCTTGTCTGACCATATACGGAGCTATACTACTTGATGTCAGGGCTTTGCGTCGTTATACGATCTATCTATAGTAGCCACATTTTTCAACAAGTTTAATTGATTGTTCTCTATCACTTGAATGTTTCAATAGTACTTTTGGAGCTTAGTGTCTGTTATACATCGTTCATATTTTATCCCAGGCCTCTTGAATTCGAGGACGACACGTTTAGTTCAGAGAAGTGGAAGCGAAGGCTCGGTCACAGTCGCTTCACGCTCCTAACTCAATTTTAACTTGGAAAGCTTCTTTATTCCTTTAAATCCCGCAATAATATCGTCGCGCTATTGCTACCCTCGGAAGTTGCTATCGTTTCAGGATCGCATTAGAACCGTCTAAATCGATTACTTATTCAGGCTCTTGTCTAGATTAATTCGTGCCGCAGCTGCGAATCTCCATTCCGCTCTAATTTATACCTATTCGATTCTCCTACGTAACGCTCTGCTATCTTCTTCTCTTTCGTTCAACTCACATTTCTTTATCTTTTCTCACATCGTGTTTGCAAACTGTCACGACTCGCAAAATGAATTTTCCAAATTTGGAAAATTCGAATGAAACTAATTAATCAGATTCTTCTTACTTCTCCTAAAGAACATGCTTTGTTCAGTTGCTGTGTACGAAACAGTTTGGACTGGCGAAGGATACACAGTATGTTGCCATTTGACTTGACCTGCAAGCTTAATGATGTAACCTGTTTGAGAGCCAACAATGCTACCAGTGTGATGTAGCATAATTGCGGATACAGTGTATAAATCCCAGAGCGAGAGTCAAACAATGGAACCAGGACGTAGTATGTCCAGATGGACGGAAGATGCTAGCGCAACCATAAGCGTAATCCTGATGGTTCCAACTCGATTCGTGGCTATCCATAATCCTTTTCCTGATTCACCTGCTTGTACATTCAGATTCCCGTTCATTTTCATATAAATTTGACAAACATGAACAATCGCAGAGCACAAAATCCGCGATTTGGTGATTAATTATTACTTCGTCTGAGTAATTGAAACTCTCATTCAACGTGGCACAAAAGATCAAAAGGGCAATTGCATAAATTCAGATTATGAGGGTGTTTATTAAAATTTGAATGGAGGACCTCTTATCGTTCCGGCGAAACGGCAACGCTATGCACCTGAGTCGAAGTTACTCAGGGTTCCAGTTATAAGGAAGTCAAATATTTGCCGATTCAACATGCAAAGTTGGCTCGGCGGTAATTCCTCTTGAATGGGGGAGGCCTCGCGCGAGTACGTTTATGAAGTAAAACGTATGAATGTTTATCGTCGCACGAATTAGCTCGATCAAACTTTACCAATACATATGCAAATAAGATTCGCTGCGTCGATTCAGAACGTACGCAGTTGCAAACACGCCCCTACGATTCTTGAGCGAAACAGGCTAAAAGACAAATATGATCGACGGGCCAAGAGACTTTCAAATTAATCATTTGTGACATCAGTTTGAAATACGCGGTTCTTCATATTTCGAGCGCATCCGATTTTTCCATAAATTTACGATCCGACTGAAATAGTTTAAAGGATTCATATAAAGTCTGTGTGAGGTAGATTGACTAGAAAAATCTAAAGGCGAAGCAATTGATCTTCGATTTAACAGAGAGGAATGATAAATTTGGCAGAAAGATAAAGAACGATGTTTCCGCAGGTGTCAGGACGTGTATGGCGTGGAACAATCTGAAAAATAATGTCCTGTCGATATCGAAGCCGACAGATTTCGGTCCGCGGGAGAGAAGTATCGGCGGCGGCATTGCGTTAGACGTCGCTCGTTTATCGACTTCCTGCGCGATTCCCGATTCGCGCAGAGCCCGCGACGATTCGCTCGCGAAACTTTCCTAACGATTGGCCGGCGGGTCGTATCGTCGAACGAAAATCCGCTCGAACAGAACGTCGAAAAGACTCTCTGATCGTCGCCGAGTTTATCGTCCGATAAACGAACTCATGCACCACTTA